AAATAAAACTCAAAGAAATGAGTAGTGCAATTCAAGTTGCATTCACAAAACATCTGAATGCCACATAGTATGTTTCAGGTGCATAATATAACACACATATTGCCTCCCCACTCCAAGCTTAGAGCTCATATGACGTAATTTATTTCACATCTTTTTCTTGGAATTTGCTGCCACCAGATAAAGCAATGAAATAGTTCTGGAGAAAAGATACATCAGTATTTCAACAAACCATTTATTTTCATGTTACCTGTCATTTGCCTATCCTCTGTTAGTCACTGATCTGACTTATCCAAGTTCATCTTACCATAATACAAGCTTAATTTTGGTTTGCTGTGCAGAATATCTTGAATCTATGAATCACAGGATTCCCCCCCACTCCACTCATAGAATTTAGCTGTAATTCTATAGGAGACATGTAACTTCTTGAAGATAGTTTAATCAACTATAGCTAAAACTCATCATAACCACTTGCAAAATTATTATACTCATTCAAAATACAGATTATTCCTGCATTAGTCTATTTCTTTTGTACCTACCCTCTGTAATAATTTATTAATTTGTATATTATTCACTCTGCCAAATGGCTTCTTCCTGTGGATCCAAACTTATGATACACACACACACCACTCAGTAAACCTACCAGTAGTGTACACATCATCCTCTTGATATTAAAAGTAGCAACCACTTTTTTCATATGGGAAGTTCACCCTAACATCTCATCAACTGATCACATTCTTGCCTCTCTACTGAACCATGTGCAACTGTACCTACCAGGGATCTCATTGTACAGACATTCTTGGTACTGTGTGCTATTCCCAGCACACTGAACAGATCCTGGGCTGTGGATTTCACAGAAACGGCTACGATACTGGATGCTATCTTCATTACATAAACTCCATTCAGACCATTCAGACCAGCCTCCTTAAAATTATGTATGTCAGAAATAAGATAAATTAGGCAGGATGATCAGTGTCAAGCTAGGAAAAAGTATAAGAGATAAACACAGAACTAAAGGTTTGAACGCAGTTGTTCAGCTGAACATTTAGGTCAGGAGTTGTAGTTCAAAAACATATTGATGGTATAAGATCATCAATATATCTTTTCAGACGTATGCCTAACACATATTGTACAGAACGTCCACACTTAGCAAAGTAAGCTAAAAACCCTTACCCAACCTGCTCTCAGTTTCAGCAAGACCTCCTCCTTTAGTTTGTAACTTGGCATAAAATAATCCTGCTACAGTTGTGTTAGTAAACATTTGGGAATGAACAACATCTAAAATCATCCTTTTGGAACTAACTCTTTCAACATCACTTTCAGGGCCATCAACAGAATTACATTCATCCTGGAATACTGAATACTTTTTAAAAGTTTTAATTTCAATAAAAACTCTAAAGATGGCCTGACAGAACACTGTCAGCTATGTTCCGTCAATGGGCTTTTAAAGCATCAGATCTCATACAGCAGAATAGGTGACAATCAGCAGCTAAGAAGACAGCCTATGAGGCTGTGCTATGTTCCTCCAGCTGACTGAGATTCTGTAGTTCCAACCTAATTGAAGGATGTCAATAGGAAAGATTGAGAGCAGTAGTCTTGGGAAGCACTATACTATCAGGCCCACAGGAGCAAATTAAGTGCTTGCTACCTTCACATGGGTGTGTGTTGCACAGTGCTTCCTCTGTGTGTAGCCCAATGCAGATATCCTCCCCATTAGTTGGTGCCGGGTTGGTGCAGGTCCGGGTGCGCTGGTAGTGCCCACCTCCACATGTTGCTGAGCACTGAGACCATGGAGTCCAGCAGGACCATGAGCCCTTCACTGTAGAAGATGGAGAACACAACAAATAGGCCTCTCTTCACCTATGTGTTCAATCTACTTCAACCCAAATAACGGCATTATTGCAATAACAACAGACCAAAGGCTATGGTGAAATGACTTTTTATATAAACAGCACTATTCTTAAGATTTTAGCCTTACTTTTTATATTGTATGCAGCTGCCAATTAACACAAATTCGCTAGGTGAGATAAAGAAGAAATATAATATTAAGACAATATAAAACATTATAAATGATTGAAACTAAAACAATAATTAGAACACTGAAGATGTTCAGATGAAGAGACTGCAAGATATGCATTTAAAAATACTTGAGTGAATAAAAGTATTTTCATTGAAAGTACCAAACAAGATGCCATCATGCAAGGCTTTCTGGAAGATTTTTCAATGATACTACTACCAAAAATACTTTAATGCATATATGAGGAACCTGGGCACTGTAGATGTTGCTGCATTACAACTTTTAGCACTTATCATTAATCATGCTAGCTGGGATTGCTGAAAATGATAGTTCAGCAACAACTGAACACATTTCCCAACTCTGCCTAAGACATTACTTCTCTTATTTCACTGGATCAATGCATTCAGAGAAGATCCACAAAAGATCTTGACAGTTCAAGTAAGTAAATACATGAGAAAGCAGACTTTAAGAAAATCTGGCCCTAAGCAATTTAGAGTTTTAAGGGTTAAAATCAACATTTTAATGTGTGAGCCATTGCAATTGACAACGCACGGTGTTGTATGTGAAAATCTCAATCCCAGTGAAGAAAGGATTGATCTTAGTCTGGCCACCAGTGGCAATTTTAACATTGTTTTTAAGTGCAGGCAGTATACTGTTATAGTGGTCTAAATATTTTGGACCAGCCTGGCAAGCTAGGATGATACAGTGAAATAGCAGCAAGTCATTTTGTAGAGAACTGGTCCAATGCTTGGAATACCACTGGCCTTGGTTAAATGCTAAATCAGAAAAAGGGCTTACCTGGGCAAGGATGTGGGTTACAGTCCTGATATTCCATTGCAGACCCTATGCAAGGAAGACCACCGTTCTTGGGTTCTGGATTGGTGCACATTCGCTTCCTGGTTCTGAAGCCCAGTTCACAATCCCGGGTGCAGGATGACCATCCCCCCCAAAAGGACCAGCCACCATTGATAATCCGGATAGAAGTCTTGCCACTTTTCAGAAGGTCATCGACTAGAGCTTGTTGGGGAGAGAAATAAAAGGTGGGGAATTAAATACACAAGTAGGACAATCATATACATACAGAAAATTCAGGTAAACCTGACAGAATGAGCATGTAACCTCCTTCTGGTGACTGGACAAACTACAACGTTCTCTTGCACTTTAAACTTGCAGGAGTAGATGGGAATTGTTTGAGCCATTACACAATGAACCACATCTCTCCATTTCCAGCTGGCAGAGCATTGTGGATCATCTCTTGCTAAGGCACCCTAAAACCCAGCCATACAGAAAACAAAGTATACTCTCTCCACCTCTCTTCCCTGAAAACAGGGGAAGGTCTCCTATCCAGGCAGCATAAATTACTGGCCAGGTTTATAGTCTGATCTTACACAAATGTGCAGAATGAAGTCAGTGACAAGAGGGAAGATTGGTGTCTACAGTTTTTAGAAACTGGCCTACAAAGGCAGCCAGAAATTATGAGTTGCTAACCATTATAATAAATTCAAATAAATAAAATCATAGTAGTCTTATTAGATATTGATATATCAGTTACCCTAATTTTAAATCAGAGTTTCCATTTCCTCTTCCTGAAGTGTGTTGCTCGTATATCAAATTCTATTTGCTCTTAACTAAGATGTGTCCACCTTCCTTAGTATTACACTCACAAGGCAAGGAGAGTTTTATTTCTGATTTTCTGACAATGGATGGTGCTGAATAAGCACCAGGGAAAGGATCTCCATCTGCATTTTTCTGCTTTGATAGCACAAAATGATAATAAAAGAATTCTACTCTTCATATTAATGAAGACATCATAAGAAGATGGAATGATTACCTCTGGGGAAAGCTAGGCCAAAATCTAAGAGTGTTGCTGGGAAAGATACATGACTATCTCATCTACCATTTTGATCCCAAGATACTCAGTCAGCAGAAATGAAGGGAACAAACAGGAAGTAGAAGCAATTGTCCTTCATTCATATGTTGGACTCCCTTTTAAAGCCAACCATTGCTACATTTTGTGGCAGCATCATTACACATGTCTTAATTATGCAATATTTGAAGCAATTATCTTTATCCTTCAAACAGGTTTTAGTATTATGTAATTATCAACCTCTATCATACTTCTTCCGTTGTTGCTTCTTTCCTAAACTAAAAGCCACAAATCATTATCTTTCCTTGTAATGGAGTTGTCTTAGCCCCCCAGCTGTTTTGGATGCCTTTCTGGTTCTTTCAGCTCTGTAATATCTTTCTGAAATGCAGCAACTAAAACTGTGCAAAATGTACCATACCAAGTAGATAAGATATTGATAATCTTATTTTTACATCCCTCCCTTCTGAGTCCTAGCATGAAAATTGCCTTCTTCACAACCAAGTTGACTGCTTAATTGAGTTTTTCATCATGAGCCTGAAATGTCTTTCTTGGTCAGTTATTGACAACAAAGTCTACCTAGTTGAAAATGGCTAAATCAATAAATAGGAGATTCCAAGGATGCAGTTTACCAGCCCATCTGAACCAGAGAGAGAATGCTTCTCCAAAGTATATTAGGACAGTTAATAGAAGTTTTGCTGACTAAGTAACAAAGAAATCCAAATAAGATATAGAACTGTTTTTCATGGCTGATTCTCACAAAGTGAAACCTCACCCTTTTAAAAATACAAGTCTGCAAATTTGCACATTACAGCAAATATAGGCCACGCTCATCAAATAATGAGCAAAAAGAACGGAAGTTTGGTAAGCAGATAAACAAAAAGATTCAGTCTACTCATGTCATACGGTAGATGGTTCTGATAAATTTTTGCATAGAATCAGGGTGCCATGGTTTCTTCTGGGATACCCTGATGTAGCACTACCATGTACCCCTTCAGTGAGTGATTCCCCTTAGTAAAAGAAATTCTGATGCTTCTGGGGAATTTTGGGAGGGGCACCTTTATAAACCCAGAAATTAAGAGAATATAACAAAGCTGCCACTAAATCCCACGACTTCCATCCATTCGAGTCTCACAGAATCCATCATCTCCACCAGCTGGCTTCAAACTGCTCTGCTGCTAGCAGCACAGATTGGTGTTTATCCAACCCTGTGTTTCATCTACCCAAACCTCCACTATCTGAAACAAGAAGCTTAACGCAGCCCTCAAGCTGCCTGCCTTCGGGCAAGACATACAATCTGTGTCGCAAACTGCAGAGCCATCATTGGGGCAAAAACGACTCTCTGTCTTCTTTCTGCCAAACTGTAGGTCATGGGGGTCAGCCAGCTGAGCACGACAGGTGTAACGGAAGCGCTGCTCTTGGCGGGCCCCACTTTGAGTAATATTGGTAGGTGTCCAAGGTGTCCATGGTGTGCTTCTCCGCACTTCTGGGCAGGCCTCTGGGCTGCAGGTTTTGTATTCCTATAAAAAGCAAGAGAAGGGAAAAGGGAAAACCAAACCAGAATCCTTAACATTTGCTTGGGGAAATGCAACTTTACCACTACCCTGGGGTACTCTGCAATTTAAGGAGTCATAAAATAAACCTTGAATATTTGATTAAAAATACAGAAATCGTTGAGGCAGAAACAAAGCTCAGAAGGGATATAAAGCAGGTTCTCTTATTGCTCCCAGTGCTTTAATTAATAGAATATAATACTGAGGTGGCAGACCATGGTAGCTCACGCATATGCACACACATTTTATAGGCAAAGTTCTAGTTTTCACTAAGGTGGTAAAACATTGGGGGGTGTCACTTCAGAAACAGATTTTCATGATTGAATGCTATACTTTGTTAATGCTTTTTTAAAAAAATACTCTTCAGATGAAAATATTGATGCCACGATGGTTTCTAACCCAGCTTTCCATCTAAACACAGAGTCTTAGAGAGACACAGGAGAAGCATCCATGTTGTTTATTCCTGACAGTTGCTACCCACAGGATAAAAACAAATAAATTAGAAAATGCAGCAGGCTAATATTATTCCTCATCGAACACCTTCAAGAGGGTTCCTATGTTAGCTTCTTACAGCAAAAATAACTTTTATATCACCTTGAGGGCAGATGATATTTATTTTGACCCTCAATAAAACCAGAGTTTCAAATTAATTATAAGTAACACAGAAACACAGTTGAATCTCAGACTTGTTAAAAACTAGCAAAAGATTCCTCACTATTCTAGACATTGCTTGTGGATGTGAAACATCCTGGGGGGTACTCGAAAGAAGTGCTAAATTAACTTTCTGCTTGGGGAAGAAGTTCTTCTCAACTGTCTCCTACAAGAAAAAATCACTGAGAACTGAAACAGCCCCAATATCTTAGTCCCAGTACCTCATTTATATAGCTCCACCTAAAATTGTCACAGTCCAACCCATAACTGTCTTAGCCCCAAGGTCTCATTATCAACACAGCTCTACTGAAAGCGGCAGAGCATGGATGTAATGCTAGAGCACCTTTTCCAGCTTCACTAATTGCCATACTTAATAGGCCAAATATTAGCTCAAAAACACAACATGTTTTGGAATTACACAGAGATTCCCAAGTGAAGGAAGGAAGGGATTTATTACTATGAGTTTATTTATTTATTATTTTGATTTATAAAACTACCCCAACTCAAAGCTGACTCTGGGCCATGTGCTATTAAAACCAGTTTAATTCTTAATTGGGCAGGAGCTGTGAGTCCAGGAGGACCCCAAACTGTGCACCAGCTCTAAATGGGCACTAAATTTGCAAACCTCACTTTCTAATCACTTTTGGAAATTGCTTATTAACTACTTCTAAGCTATTAGAGATCTTTGAAATAGCAAGTTTGAATACACTAGGTAACTCTCCCGTCAATCCTGAACAAAAGAAAATTTTAATCATAAACTTAAGGATTTAAAGAATCTGAAATAAATTAAAAAAAGCTTTTGATCTTAGAAAGTTATAAATAGACTAAAGGTCCAGATAAAATTTGAATACTGAAACTTTTACAATAATATTTTGGAATTAATTATAAAATACAAACAGCTTCTCATGGGAAACAGATCCTATTTTGGTTTTTACAAGACATAACATAGATAAAGGAGTTCATGATTTCAAAAACTGGGCATTAGAGGGACTAAAGACTTTAGGTAGAGGAAAGATACATAGGCCTGCAAGATGGTGCAAAATGTTATGATAATAAAAGTGCTGAAGGAGACTTTTGAATAATGGAACCAGAAAACAGTAGCCATGATATCAACAATGTCATTAATGATGTCTGCTTCTATGGACAGACTATATCCAAAAGATGTTATTGAAGAAATGACAGATATAGAACAAATTTTAGATAGAGATGGTATTGAAAGTGGATTTACAACTGACACGCCAAGAGAATGACTTAGAAAAGGATGTTTCACTGGATCTACAAAAGTAACTGGGTGAGGTTTTGAAATTTAAAAGGGAAATACAAATGAGAAACCAAGAGAGTGACCTGGATAATTTTTTCCTATTGGATTTACAAAAGAGGCTTGTTAAAGCCTTGAAGTACTCTGCAATGGGACAAAGAAGAAATGAAGAGAAATCAAACCCAGGACAATATTTGAATGAACTAAAGATTAAGAATGTTAAAAGTAAAAGGAAGGAATATAAAGTTGGTTTATTTGGTCAAGGTTACAAGAAAATATGTTGTTATTTCTTGCTACCCTTTGTGGACTTTCTGCTAACATCAGGACTGAAAATATGATGTTTTATGGATTTGTTTATAGTAAGAGATGGGATATGGGATGAAGAGATAAATGTTTGTAACTTTAGAGAGGGTGAAGAGTTACTAAACTTGTTTATACTTGTGATGAAGGATGGAAGCCACTTCTTTATATACTTCTCTTCTTTTTCTTTATTATATTCTTACTTTTCTCTCATTTTTTCCTTTTTGTCTTGCACTTTTTACTCCTCTTTATTCTCTTTTTTTCTTTAAGTTTAGTTTGTATAAGATTTTACTAATATAATCAAAATGTGGTGAAAATTCACCACCTTGAGTTATTTATAAAAATAATACAGGTGGGATAAAAAAGTCTAAATAAATAAATTTTTAAAAAATCTAATACGAACATACATACATACATACATAACAATCATATACCCATAGCCACTCAATCTTGTCAGGTTTAAGTCTGAGCCTTTTCCTCCCCATCCAGATCCAATAACCTCTAGACACTAAAACAGGGCCTTGATGGCATTACTTGGTCAACCAGGAATCACAGCTGATTATACTTAACCCCATATCACCAGATGACCTCATTCCATGTTTTCATATAGATATTAAACAGGAGAGGCAAGAGTGTCAAGTCCTGAAGCACCCTGAATACCAGAAGCTTCAGAATGGACCTCTCCCCACCTTACATAATACTGACTGGAAAAGGCCAAGGAGATAGGAGGAGAACCACTGCAACACCAACCCTCCCATTCCTAGATCCCCTAGCTGGTCTAGAAGGATACCACTATCAATGTTATCAAAAGCTGCTGAGAGATCAAGAAGAATCAGGACAGTTGCATCACTTCCATCCTGGCTCTGCAGAGGTCATCAACAAGTGTGATCAATGCTGTCTCTGTATTTTGCCCTGGCCTGAAACCCAGTCATGACGGGTCCAGATAATCTGTTTCCTCTAGGGCACTTGGAACTATAGTCTGACCAACTTCTCAACAACCTTACTGAGAAAGGGAAAGTTGGAGACTGGATGAAAATTGTCTAGAACCATTGAGGAGAGGGCATACCACTGTTTCCTTCAAGGCACCAGAACCACTCTGTGTCTCAAGGATCAATTTACTGCTGTGTGGACCCAATCACATACCATTTCCTAGGAGAGTCCCTTGTTCTTTAAGTCACCTTTCTAATTTGGGATGGCATCTTATCCTGGAAGATGTAGGCAGGCTTGAATTGTCTCTCCATGAGAAACAGCCATTTGAGCAAGTCAGCCCATCAATCTTCCATTATTTTCACTATAGCTAATAATAGAATATTCTGGACTACAATAACTATAACTATATCAGCAACAATCAATCTGAGTGACTGTTTGCAGGACAGTCAGGATAACAAGACATATCCAGGAAATTTTGCTTATCATCTCTACAGTGTGATAAGACATAAGACTTTGTTGTGATTAATTTTAAAATTCAAAATTAATTCAAGCTAATGTCAATTTTAGAAGATGAGAAAAGCTAAATGCTCTCCAAGAATGGAAATTGGTAGCCAGCAGTGTTTATTTTCTTTTTCTCCTGGGTCTTACAGGACTTGTCCTCTACCTTGAGATGGTTATTTTTTTCTTTTCCTCCTGTAAGTGGGTCTCAGATGAAGCTGTTACAGAAATCTTGAAGAAGTGAGGCAAATTAATCCAACAAAGCAACATCAAACCTTTTTAAATAGAAAACATACCACAGCACAGCCTGGACAAGAGTTTCCATTTTCACAGGACCTCTGCCTGGAGTGCATTCCTCCACCACAGTTTGCACTACATTTATTCCAAGGGCCCCACGAAGACCAGAAGATTGGTAATGGGCATGGACTGTTCTCATTGCAGAATCTGAATGCAAATAAAAATAGAAAGGAAGATGGAAGAAGAAACGGTCAGCGTTCTAGGTCTCCCCACGCACAAGGAAAAGTTGGAAATGATTCCTCAGATCTATTTATACCATCAAGAAGACACAATCTTTCCTGAAGCTTATGATAGTCTGAGTAGAAACACAATAGCATGAAAATGAAAAGCCATGGGATACATAGGTTAGCCGTTTTTAGGCTACTGGAATCAGTAAAACTTAAACTAAGTTTGGCTAACCTGTCTCATTGATTGCATTGGGACTTCCTGAATCAAAATGCAACCCTCTTTAGACAATGTCAAGTTTAAAACAGGTGAAGGACTGGGTATCTTTCAGTAGTAGGGGGATAAGTTAGGGCGTATCAGTTTGTACTGGATTAGACCACTTTGGGTTTTCTTTGATTCTACTTTAATATTAAAATTATTATTATTTAATTGTGAGTTGACACAACAATGATATCACATGCTAGGATCCAACGTTATTGGGTTGCCTTGACAGAAGTTTTCATATGTTTCCTTCAGGCTTTCCAGATATTAGAAATTAGATGTACATATACATAATAAAAAATGTAAAGCATATTTTACTACTATGCCATCTTTCTTCAGTTACTGCCTGGATATAGAATAGACTGTATTTCAGAAACAGGCAACTTTACAAATGTTTATTGCCAAAGCTGCAAATTAGCTTAATATTAAAGCCTTAAGAAATTTGTACAGAATGTAGAATGCCAGCTTTTTGGAATTAAATTGGCCTAAATAGCTGCAATGCTAGAGGAAAGCTATCTTTTAATATTGCTTAGAAAGCAATATATTGGGCATAACTGAGCTCAGTCAGTCATTACCTTTTGAACCTGCTATGAAAGAGCACTGTGCAGTCTCAGCAAACACATTTTTGTTCGGAGATAAATTCCACTTTGTTAACTAAGATTTATTTCCAAGGAAGTTTTTATTTTTTAATTCAGTGTACCTGCCTCTACATGAACAGGGATTATTTTCAGAGGACCACAACTTTATCCTGCCTTCCTATGTATCCAAAAAATAACCTGGAACCACTTTTATATTTCCCCAATCTCTCAATTCTTTTGTTTCTTTTAGTTATACAAATAACACTTTTATACAAGCTATTAATTAAAAAAAAAACTATTGGCAAAGTTACTTTTCCCTCTAAAACCGAAAAAAAAGCATGGTATTCAACTGGGCCAGACAACAGTATCTATTTATTATTACCCCAATATTTTTGCTTGTTTCAAAATAATACGCTCTAGTTCCATTTAATCATTTAGTTCTTTGATAGAAACAGACCACTAAGTTCAGGGAAACTAGTGAAGCAAACAGGAAAAGCATTTTCAGTGGTCACAAGTTCACTCATAAACAAGTCCAGAATGATGGAGCAAACGGCATTTACATTCTCAATTCCTGAAGAGGCTTCTGCTGACTAACTTTAGGCCAAGAAAATAATGCATGGGTCTTATAAACGTATCTGTGCTTTCAGGAATTTCTCACAATTTTTTTAAAATCTTGGGACTACACCAATGTACTAAGGTAGCAAAAACCAAAATAACATGTCATGGTCTTAACCAAAATGCCAGTATGGGCTCTTGGCAGGTGTTCCACATTCTCCTTATTCTTTTAACTTGGACTAGACCACTCCCAGACCCAAGTCATATACAAACTTCTTTAACATCATCTTCACGATTCATCGTATCTATAAAAGAAATGGTTTGCCATCTGTATGATTACTCTCCACAATTGGTGACAGCCTGCATTTAAAAACAGCTTCATGAGCATGCAGTGCAAGCTCTGTGTAGCTTTCTTGAAAAGCAGCGGCTATTTTTATGGCAGCTCCCAGATGTTATCTTTTTGAGTAATTATTACCAGAGGCCTATAGACCATGGATATGCAACAAAATATTACATTATATTACTATACTATAATATCATTTTCTCGTAAGAATTCTCTTGGCCAGACTTTTGGTCAGCCGGGCCTACCTCCAATGAGCTATTCCATTCCTAGGCTCCATTCCTCCTTTCCAGATTTCCTTTTCCACCTGACATTCAACATCCTATAATGCAGTGTTTCTCAACCTTGGCGACTTTAAGATGCCTGGACTTCAACTCCCAGAATTCCCCAGCCAGCATGCTGCCTGAAGAATTCTGGGAGTTGAAGTCCAGGCATCTTAAAGTTGCCATGTTTGAGAAACACTGTTATAATGCCTGAGCGTGTTGAGTCCTTAATAGGCTGTTTTTTGGGAGGTGGGGATTCTGGAGGATTTGGGGAGGGGGTTAGCTTTTAGGAAGTACTCCAGTACCTCCCTGTGGTTTTCCTTTCCCAATGCCCCTACTTACAATATTTAGATGCCATTTAAATTTGCTGCACATTTCTTTTTGGACCTGCCACCTTAGTTTGTTACTGGAGAGAAAATATCCCTCTTCCTTCAGCATAAAGGAGCCTCAGGATAGCTACCGGGCCCTGTTCTAAGGTGTATTATGCCGCAGAGGAATCAGCTGTAGACTTTGCCCTCCAGAATCAGCAATGTCGACAACGTAACACTGATGCATATGTTTCCATTACGAGTCTGATTTTAATTGTCATTTGTGTCTTCTGAGTATGTGCTATAGTGACAACTTTAAAGTTTTGCATATGTCTAGCCCTCATTTCGACCCTGAGTTCTGCAAGACAGATTACAATCTAGAAACAAAATAATAAAGACATTAATTAAAAATACAATAAAAATGAACTTAAATCACATAAAACAAATTAAATGACCAAAGGCAATAACAACAGTAAAAGACAATCGTAAAACCATTCAGAAAAAGCTTGGAAAAACAACATAATTTTTATTAGTATTTAAAAAAGTAAAAATAAAAGAATGGGTGCGAAATAAGTTGTGAATGTTTCTGAGAAGAGGGTGCTGATAGAGTCCTATCTACAGGTGCCAGCGCCCCAGCCTCCTTGGTGGGGGCCACCACGAATGGGCAGGTTTAGAGTGGAAAAAGCAACTGTGAAGGGGGCTACGCCATGCGGTGTCCACCTCTTTTCAAAGAAAACACAGAGCTCTGGTTCAGAGTTTGACAGATGTTTAGGGATGGGGAACATCTCTCACCGCTCCTCTCTGCTTTGTCCGACACAGACCCTGCCTCCGTATCGCGGAGCAGGGTTGCTGCATGACCTCTGACGGACCTGAAAGCCAATCCCACAGGAAGTGCTGCAGGGGGCCCAGGACGACCATGGGGTCCAAGCTCCATTCCTGACAGAGGGGAGGGGAAAGGAGGAGAGATAAAACATGGCATCTGGGTTAATGTTTCTGTTCAGTCTTATGGTAAGTTCAACCCCACTGGCTATGCGGTACCAGCAGGTATGCAGAGCTGACTATGTTTATTAAAAACATATTAGTAGAATTAAATACCCCCCCACTAGGAAATTTAGAATTAGAAGGATAATTCAAAAATAGTAATTTCATTGTGAGCAGATTTATGCCTGTGTAAATTATAACACAAGTTTAGATTTTATAAACCCAATCCCTCACATATTCCCCATTATTCATAAATTTGCAATCATACTATAATTTCTTATGTTTATGAACTTTGTGACAAAATTTTATGGTATTACAGAAAAATAAGAGGGAGAACAAGGTTGAAAGGGGAAGATTAAAGTTAGCCAGGCCTTTGGAAGTTTGATTTCTAAACTATTATTTGTTTTATGTAACAAAGTTTCATAACCACTGAATCTATAATCATATAATACTGTATACCCATTTGAAAGACTCAAAATAGGTTATGAATTTTTTAAAAAGCTAATGATAAAAGCTAAAATCTAGAAATTGCTACATATAAATCAGAACATTGTTATTTCAGAATCTTAACACTCCCTATGGATGAACAGTGGACATTTGTTTACACATATTTTAATGGATATTTTAAAGTTTCAGGTAACATCTCTAGGATTAGCATTGGTTAAAACAGCAAACCACTGTTAAACATATATTGTAGGTTCTGTTGTCCTTTTTTTCCCTCTACCATTGCTTTTATTTATCTTATTGATGTTTCTATTAATGTTTCACTTTAGGTAATTTTTACATTTGGGGGTATGTTATGAATGGTAGGCTAAAAATTGAAAGTGTGATTTTTCAATAATGTTTTAAAAGAGCAATAGATCCCGCACAGTGTGTGTTAATATTAAGGCCCAGCCAACAAAGTGAAGAATCACTCCAATACCACCAATTGCCACCAATTTCTCTGAGAAAGATTCAGGTTGTAATTCCTGTTCTTCAAACAGACATGTACTTTTATTAATCCCAGCAGGAAATACATTTCAGGAACAAACTTCTATTCTACTGAAGAAGATACCACCTTACAAAATGGAACCAGATACAGTTCTTCTATCATCCCAACATTCCTGCTTTCTCTACCTTGGAAAATGATGTCAACATTTTTTAAAGTTTGCTCTCATGTCCTTATCTCAAGCTATGTTTTTTCTTGGGTTCCTGAATGTTTAGGTGGAAAACAGATGTAACTGAAGAGCCTGGCAACTAAAAGGTATCTGGTAGTTCATCTGTTGTAGCAGGAATATTAGAATTAAAACTTGACCTTCATCTACACTTTCCAAGTTTGTTTTCTCATTCTCTTGGTAGCATGACTTTAGATCAGCAGTATTTTATTTCTCTTTCACTGGAGGACAACTAATTTTTGAAAATTACTTTTTCCCCTTGTGAGTCCTGTTTTCTTAGCAAGTAGGAAAAACGGGGTATCAAAAATATTTAAATAAAATTAAATAAAATAAAAAATGGGTGAATGCCTACTGTGTCCAGAATGATATAGGAAAAACACAAACAACAAAGCCACCAGTATCCAAATCCAAATCATACACAGTACTTTTAAAACCATTAGCTAGTTGTGTGTCTTCATGTCAATATAATCATATGTAAATAATTCACCCATTTAGTCAAACATATGTTTAGACAAATGTTTGGGATAGCAGCCAGAATATGAAGTTTTTGTATGTTCATACTTTATTTTTGAAGATTCAGATCTTAAAAGACGAAGGCTTGATTTACATTCAATTCTCAATAAGGTTTTTATTAGCATGGTGACATTCCAATAGAAATCTTAGTTCTTGCTTGTTACTAAAAACTCTCCTTTAAACATTCTAATGAAAGAATTGCATGGCATATGAAGCCAGTTAAAATGGGAAACTGTAGACCTATGAAGAATGTAAGATGCTCATATGACTGTATTTCCTAACAGTCATTAAATGTTAACACTAAATGCATTTTTCATCTACTTCCTACAGACTAATCTTGTGGTATTCTACATTTAACCAATCAACATTGCTGGCAATAATTAAATTATTACACCAACTGCCTTATGTCTCTTGCAGAGAAAATGATGCTCCACATGGTGGAGTTGTAACAGCTGTATAAACCGTTGTTCAAAAAAACAGGGAGAATCTAGAAGATCTAATCAAATTTTATTTTTTAATCATATGTCATCCTGGAGCGAGAGAAGACAGATATTCATATCCCAGATGAGTCACAAACTCTGGGAGATTTTGAGAAATCTTTCAGCACCAGGTTCTGTTCTGAAAATCAGAATAATTATCCACCACACCGTTTTCATAAGCACAAAATGCGTCTTTGCATATTAAGAGTCTAAGTAACTAGTAAGTTCTATTGCCTCAGTTAATACTCTTATTTCAAATGCTAATACTCTCTAGCAAAGAGATGGAAAGCCATTCCTTCCCACCGAGACTCAGATCGAGTCTGCCTGTTACATCAGTCAAGTGAAAACTGGCTGAACAGATTCTGCAGAGGAACTAATCTAGGTTGAAATATGTAGAAACATTCTGCACAAGAACCATCTATATAGTGAAGGAATTTTCCATGTCTCTGCTAGCCAATTATGTCACAGATATGTATAGCAGCCTAAAGAAAGATGAATTAAACTCCTTCAAGCATGACAGTTTAGACTGCCAAAGCGCACAAGGCAACTTATGGAGTGTATTTGTCTTACTATAATGATACCAAATGTATTTCTTACCAGTAACTACCTGAAGGGTACACAGGCATTGGAAGAGATGTGTAGGTGCACACATGTGAATGTATGTGTGTATGTGTTT